CTCTTAATTCACAACTTCTATGAGGAAAAAAATTCTTTTTTTATATCCCTTTGATGAATTGTCTAAAAAAATTATTTTCTCAAACTGTTGAAATTCTAAAATTAAAAGTTCCAAAGCACAAAACTAGTACTGTAACATAAAAAAAAAAAAAAAGTTCCAAAGCAAAAAGAAAAAGAATAACCACAGTTATTTTAATGGAAATCTGTGTTTGTTTTGATTATGAACCAGACATTTTTTAAGGAAGTTTTCTAAATCAGAGAACCCTCTCACACAGCGCCTGGGAACGGGTAGTTGGATATCCAGGAGCTTAGCTTGTTATGAGTAACATTAAACGAGCAAATGACATCCTTTCACATGCTTTTGGTCACCAAACTGCGTCTTCTCTCACTGAAACGTACCTGCCAATTTCGGAAACATTTTTTTTCACTTTCATTTACGGGCAAATGATCTTGAACATACAGCCAAGTTTTATCATCTTTTGTTACAGCCAACTCATCCTTAAAATAGTACGTTGCAGATGCAGATCCATCTCTAGAATACAATAAGAATTCAGTATATTTATGTGCCTGCTCTCCCTCTTGTTCCTCTCACCTGCACTCCTCATCCTCAACTTTGACCTAATGTTCTTCTGCTATTTCCCACTTCCCTTTCTTCCTCTCTCTCTCTCGCTGGCCTTCTTTCTCTCCCTCCTTCCCTTCCTCTCTCCTGCTCTCTCAAGATCTCTATCCAAAAAGTCTCCCAGAAGAGTTGAAACGTAAGATCTTAGTAGTGAGAGATCTATAGTCATAATTTTAGAAGGAGGTATGGCTCCCCATGTTGAAAGTCAGCTTCAAATTGCTGGCTGTGTAACTTTGGGTCAGTTATTTATTCTTTTTTGTTGTTGTTTATTTTTAAAATGTATTATTAATTTCAATGAAAATTTACAGAGACTTTGGATTTCCATTCTTTCATTGTTGCACTTTTCTCCCCTCCCAACCCTTCTCCCTAGTACACTACCCTCTTGGAAAAGTAAAATTCATTGTTTTACAAAACCTCCCCCAGGTTCACTCCACTATGCAGCCTTTGCTCTGGACTCCCGTCATGACAAAAATACCTAATAACATAGCCCCTCTTAAACAGTTTTCTCCCTTATCTGTTTCAATGCAGTATACATTATTGAAAGGATCTTTCTCAGTCTCCCCCCAACCCCCAGGTCCGTCCTGTTTTACAAGCTTCATTTTCCTCCTCTTTAAAACAGTGATAGTAATAATTATATGGTAGGGTTGTTATGAACATAAAATGCAATTGTGTATAAAAACACTGAGCATAGCATATGGCCCACAATATGTGATACACAGACATACTTAAACTTAAGACAATCTAGCAGAATCACTTCCCTCCACTCTTCTTATTATACTTCACAATTTTAACTGTGAACACTTTAAATATACTTCTATGAAAGTTAGAAGGGTCGTTATGAGCATTAACACTGCTTTTATTTGGCTAAAGAGCCAAGCTACACACCAGATTACATACCTGTGTTCTACAACAGCAACGATAAACCCATAAGATGCCAGGTCATTGCCGATGGCAGAATAAATTGTCCTTCAGAACAAAGAGAGGCAAGCATTCAATAACCAGTCAGATTATATGGAAAAACACGGTGATTAGTAGTATGGTGGACATCATGCCCTTGGCAGTAACAAGTTAAGGTAGAGTGCTTCTCAAACTGTAGTGGGAGGGCATCTGGAGACCTTTTATTATCTTGACTGGTAACACAGTGCTACTAGTCTCTAGTAAAGGGGTTCTGCTAAATAGCCTTCATACTGCAGAAGACCATTATTGTAAAAATAGAAGGATAACTAGTAAGACATGTATGAGGACCCAAGAGGAGGAGGGGTGGGAGCAGAGGGGTGAGGATGGTAGGTAGAAACCCAGGGTTGCCCAATCTAGTGGGTAGAGGGAGGGGGTGAAGTAAATGGGAAGGATCTGGGTGAAAAGACAGAGTAAGATGGGCAACGTCGAATAGTGTTTAATTTTAGAAAACAATGCATGGGAAAGGTTGTATAAAACACAATATGAAAGAAGAAAAGTATGAAACATGCATATGAACGTTGCAAACAAAACAATATAATTTTTAAAAAATTAAAAATGTATCTAGTCTAAAATGTCAGTAGTATTCAGGTGGAATCTTGGTGACAATTCTAGGTTTTACTCAGAATTTGGCTACTTTCTAGCTATTTGACTTTAGAGAATTATGATCATCAGTGAATGTTTTTCCTATCTGTAAAATGGGCTAATAAAAATCATTGCTTTAAGATAGTTACAAAGTTTTGAAACTGATATCCTTGCTGGGAAGGGTAGAAGGTCCACAAAAGTGAAGAAGATCCTTAACAAGAGGAATTGGCAAAGTGACTGTGACAATGGGTAGAGACCTTGAAGATGTAAGATCTGTTGTTCAAGGGTCACTTTGAGTCACAGCCAATTGACAGCACCTAACAAAAAGTCTTAAAAAGATAATGTATGTAAGAAGAGGAAGACCCTGGATGAGATGGATCAACACAGTTATTGTGGTAATGGGACAGGTACATAGGAGACAGTGAGATTGGCTCAGGATAGGGCAGGCTTCAGAGCTATTGTTAAAAGAGTCGCTATGAATTATGGTTCATTCAATGGTACATAACGACAACATATAAAAGGGTGGTGCAGTATGATGATTAAAAGAAGGGAAGCTGCTCAGGTGAGTTCTAGGTCCACCACTTGTTGGATAGTCAAGCTGGTTACTTATCTTTTCAATGCTTTTGTTTCCTTACCTGTTGTTACTAATTGCCATCGAGTCAAGCACAACTCACAGAGACCCAATGAACAAGAGACCTGAAGCCTTTCTAAGACTATGATAATTTCTCAAAGTTCATAGAGTTTCCAAAGGCATGTTGTTTAGGAAGGAGATGTCAGAAGAGCAATAATTTAATACCCTATAGGATTACTGTAACAGATTATCAAATTTATTCCAGCTCTTGACGACCCTCCATCAGGTTTCTGAAGCTAGAATCTTTTTTTATTTTCATTTTGTGTGTGTGTGTGTGCACTATCAAATTGGATCTTACTGGTACAGGAGGAGATTGCCCCTTCTCCAGCACAGCATCTGGTGGATTCGAACCACATACCTCTGGGATTGCAGTGCAGCTTCTTGCTACTAGGCCACCAGAGCTCCCTGAGGCTAAAAATCTTTACAAATCTTTATAAATCTTCTCCTTCTCCCATAGAGCAGCCAGTGGATTCAAACTTCCATCCTTCTGCTTGGTAAATTTGCATGTGACATGCTGCATGTTAATTTATCTTTAGTGCTTATAACTATGGGTAAATGCTTAACACATATTAGCTGTTATTTAAATGATTGCACAAGATAAGACAGTTAAATAATCACATGCTAAACAACTAAATTTATGTCCTTCTGTGTCTTCTTTATTCTGCACCATAATTTTCACATTATTGTGAGCCAAACAGAAAATGTCCACAGAGAATAAAAAGGAAGAACATAGAAATGGCATATTCTCCTGCTAAAAAAACCCAGAATCTTTACAAGGAGATGAACAGGGATAAAAATTTTTTTTTCCTCTCTATATTCTGTGTGCTGGCAATATAATCTCTATTAACAACTACTGCTGGAGTTTTGTACAAAAACAGTCCTAAACAAGATGGAAAAATGAGTGAAGGCAGATGTGTTTCAATAAAACTTTGTTATAGAAACAGGCAGCAGTTTGGCTTGCTTGGATACCTGGGCTATAATTTCACAATCACTGGTCTGGTTTAACTTGAAAAAAATAGCCAAACTACAATAAAGGGCTGAATATAATTTCTGATTCCAAAGGATAGCCAATTTCAGTGGCTGAGAGGTAAGGAGCTACACTGCCAACCCAAAGGCATGTGGTTTGAATCCACCTGCAGCTCTGCTGGAGAAGGATAGGTCCTCCTCTCTCATGAGATTTACAACCTCTGAAAACCTGCTGGAGAGCCAGCTAGGAGTTAGTTCCCACAAAACAGCACATAACACGAACAGCCATCTAAAAAATTGCATTTTCTGAAAGCCTTATGATTCTCTGAGATAGAAGAAAGGGAAGCAGTTGCAACGACAGTAAGGAGATGTGGAAAAGGTGAGGTGATTATGAACATAAACCTCTCAGATAACTTGCTGCAGGGAGTGTAGTGGACATGACCCTACCTGCTCCTTTCTCTGTGGATGGGCTACCATGTTCTAGGTGAAGAGAAGCTTCCTGGGAATGGCTCCCAACTAGTGATTGAGTGCAGTATGGACACTAATGTAGGTCATTTCTAAGGAGACACAGGACTCAATTGATGAGTATCTTTGGTTCAAACATTCTGTACCCTGGCCTGGCCCATATTTCATAAGAACTGTAGTTCAGTCTGAGACATTTCTTATCTTCTCCCCCAACCCCTGCCATTTCCCTCCCAGATGTCCGATTTCTATCATGGTCTGAAGACTCTTCCCATGTTTGCCTGTTCCCTTACTTCAAATCTTCAAAGGCATTTCCCTTAAAAAAGGTCTCCTATTCACATGAAGGAATTCTCAAAACCACTGGCAATAAGAGAGATGCAAATCAAAATCACAATGAGATACCATGTCACTCCAGTAGCAGTGGCAAAGTTTAACAGGACAGCAAGTAATAAATGCTGGAGAAGATGTGGTGAGATAGGAAGACTTTACATTGTTGGTGGGATTGTAAAATAGTACAACCATTCTAGAAGGCAATTTGGCATATCCTCAAAAAGCTGAACATAGAAATTCCACATGACCCAGCTATTCTACTGCTTGGAATAAACCCC